TCTGGAGAGATTGGAATACATTGCTAAAATGAAAGCTATTTATATTGTGAATATTTTTCTGTGTCACTAGTGAGAGAGATAAAGATAGCCCATTGTTTGCTTCTGCTTGGGAAATTGCCGCCTTTACCAGTAGCTCCCCAACAGTGAACTGACAGAGAATGGAGAGGTGAGTTTTGTAGGCATCTCTGACCAGACTGGTACATTACAGTATTGGATTACACTCTTTTGTTTGAGAACAGTAGTAATCCACGGGTAATTTTTTTTTTTTTTTTCCCGGGAACCGGGGAATTGAACTCAGGCCCTTGCCCTTGCCAGGCAAGCGCTTATTCTACTGAGCCATCTCCCTGGCCCTCCAGGATAATAATCTAAAAGCAACCAAGAAAAGAAAAAAGTTGAAGATACATATCTTCAAAACAGTATATCATTTTTTTGTTTTAAGCAAAACTTTTCTTGCTTGATTTTATCTTCCTGCTCTGTTCCTTTCATCCTCCACTAAAAGAAGTGCCATAGAAAGACAAGCAGTGAACAAGAAGGGGAACATAAAATCAGATTTGGGCGCCCTGAGCCAACCCAGATCTTGGTTCTATCACCAGCTTCATGCTTGATGGCGTTGCTCCCCGATTTCTTTGCTGGATTCCATTGTACCTTTTTCTTCATCTGCAAGGCGGGTATAGTAGCAGTTATCTCAAAGGATTAGTAATTTTTGTAAAAAAAATGCCGATACTTAGAAAATACTATATAAGGATGTAATTGTAAAAGATTTCTTTAAACCTCTTCTAGATTCAATGTTACAGATTCCTTTTCTCTTTGAAGTCAGTGACTGCCCAGATTGTGATCACCATGTCTTTTGATTTTTGTTCTTGAAGGATCCAGTTGACTTAAAAAAAGATGAAGAAAATAAATGATAATGGGTATTTTTCCAGTACTTTCTTCTTGTTATTCAGTTAGAAAATGACCTAATAAAATGGTATCAGGGTCAGCTAAATGGTATCAGATTTACCATATATAGATGCCACCTTTATTATACTGTTCTCTAGCTTAGAAATCTTCAGTGTTTCCTTATGGATAAATTCACACTTTAAAGCTTGACCACAGAGATTTTCTAATCTTGCCTGAAATTATATTTTCAGTGTCATTTTTAAGATCTACTTGAAGTTTGGCTTAGATACCCCTCTTCTCTCTTACACTGTTCACTTACCATTAAGCTAGTGGGAGAAGATAACTTCAGATGTGCTCCTATACAGGTTTGGTTAATGTCCCACCCCTGTATCACACTGCTTGTACGCTTCGTCTGACAAATCTGGACAGTACTAGGCTTCCTCTGCAGGGACAGCCCACTGAAAAATGGTCCCCTTATGCCTGCCAGCAAGCCTAAAGACAGTAGTTTGCTTCTTTAAAATTCAGCAATTAGACAACTCCCTGCCCTTGACAGTATGGTGGAGACACAGGTTAAAATAGTATTCTAGAAGATTCTTTCCATAAGCAAGAAGAGGCCAGGCAAATAGAGGCTCCTAACATATTCCAACAAAAATTCTGTTAAAAGCTTATTTCTGCAAGATAGATTTTTTTTTTTTAATGTAGGTTTCTTAGTATGTGTGGCTAATTCCCACCTTTGTGTGATTACCTACACTATTATTACTGTCCTTGGATTTATCCAAGTATGTTTATGAGAGTCATTTCTATCCTGTATGTCATGAAACATTCACCAACAAGCCCTACTCAATTCCTCTGACTTACATGGTTTTAATCATTGTCATATGTTGTTATTTGCCTAACAATTATAAGAGGTACAGTCAGCCATCCATGACCGTGAGGTCTGCATCCTGATTCAACTAACTTTGCATTGAAAATATTCAAAAAAAATTTCATCCATACTAAATACATGTATACTTTTTTCCTTGTCATTTTCTCTAAACAATGTATATGATGACTATTTATGTATAATTTATATTGTATCAGGGATTGTAAGTAATCTACAGATGATTTTAAAGAGTATGGAAGTATTTCATAGGTTACTTATATGCAACTATCACCGCATTTTATATCAGGGTTTTGAACATTCTTGATTTTGTTATCTGCGGAGGGTCAGTTATCCTGGAACCAATCTCCCATGGACACTGGTGGGAAGGCTGTATACAGGGGTTTGCTCTAACAATTGTAGTTTCTTTACAGACAGGGATCAGATCTTACATTGCTTTTTAACTTCTAAATCTAGACAAAAGCTTTCACATATAGGGAGAAAATTTGTTTATTAAAAGACAACATTGAGATTCTTTATTTGAAAATTACATTTTGATTTTCAGTATTTAGAAATGATGGAATTGAACATAGGAGATGCAGCCCAGGTGTACATCGCCTTCTTGGTTTACCTGGACCTCATGGAGAGTAAGTCGTTTGTGTATTTTGTTAATGGGCTGTGGTAGCAGTTTGGGCAGTTGGATAGGATATAGGACTATTAAAATATAAGAAGCAATCATTTATTCATTTGCTATTAATTTTACCAGTTAATTTTGTATTATTCATTTACATTGGGAATAGGTAATGGGAACAACTAGAAAAGTGGAAAAAAAAAAAGCAGTTTTTTTTTTGAGATAGGGTCTCGCTATATAGTTCAGGCTAGCTTTGAACTCACCATGTAGCTTTGAACTCACCATGTAGCCCCGGCTGACCTCACACTTTCAGCTATCATCTGCCTCAGCCTCCCAAGTGCTGAGTTACAGGTGCATGCCACCATGCCTGGCTAAAAAAGCAGTAGTATTATAGATAAATTTGTTTAGCTGAGTATTAGATAGTTTAATCTTTTGTTTTGGATAAACATTATTGTCCATTCAGTGACACTCTTTCAGGTAAAAGTTGGCATGAAGTGAACTGTGTGGGATTACCAGAGCTCCAGCTCATCTGCCTAGTTGGCACTGAGGTAGAAGGTGACGTGTCACAGACTGTCGTGCCCACGTCCATCTCTGCTTCCTTCAGCCATAACAGGTGAGTTAGTGACTTGGGTATTAGTGTAACAGATCCTCAAGGAAGTTGGAAATATTTAAATTCTTGGTGTGATGGCAAGACCTTTACATTTGTAACAAGTGCACTATTTGATAGAAACTACACTTGCTGTAGGAGTTGTTGAAGAGTGTAATTTATATGCAAGTTGATATCAAAGAAAGCTTCATGCAGCTCGTGGAACCTTTAAAAAAGGCTAGCTATACAGATTCGTATTCAGCATATCTTTATTTCCTGACAATCTTTCATTATTCGTGTGGGCTGTTTATTTATTTTTAATGCAATAACTATCTCAAAGCCCACTATCGCAGTAATGAAGTTCTTTTGTTTTTGCGGTACCAGGAATCGAGGATCTTGTGCTTGCCAGGGAAGCACTTATTCTACTGAGCTATCTCCCCGGCCCTTGAAGTTCTTAACAATACCTGACATCTAATCTTATGCATCTCTCCTTCATCTTCTTCCACTGACCTGAGGTAACTGCTACGCTGAATCTCAGGTTCAGTAACAATTATTTAATCTTAGGTGTTTTAACTTTATCAAAAGGTATATAATCTTTTAAGTTTTACCTTGTCACCGCAACTCCAGCTCATCCGCCTAGTTGGCACTGAGATAAAGGGTGAAGGGTAACCTCATTAGTACTGTATATTGTTGAAATTAATCCTTGCGCATTTGGGGTCTGCTGTGTTGTATTCCACTACGTGATTTACCATGGCATTCACCTTTACTCTTCTGATGTTGGAGTGTTGCTCATGTTCAGCATAATAATGCCAACCAGAGTGCTTCTGTTGCTTCAGTTTACTTTGTACCAGCAATGTATACAAAATCTTTTGGAGCTGTATTGTTGCCAACATTTAGGATTGTCAGATGTTTTCATTTTTGCTAGTTGAATGGATTATCTTGTGGCTTTAAATTGTATTTCTTTGTTTACTAATAATCTTGAGTGTTTCTCTATGTATTTATTTCTTCTCTTAAATGCTTGTTCATGTGCTTTGTATGTTGGGTGTTTGTAGTTTCCTCATTGACGTGTATGAATTCTTGATTTTTTTCTACTAAATAATAGTTACTTATTTTTATTAGTACCTGTCTGCAGTACAGAATGTTTCCATTCCTTGTGTAGTGTTGATTCATGTGCATAATACATCTTAATCCCTTTTTCACCTCTCTTCCTTCCCCCATCTCTTAAAATTACTCCTGTTTGAGAAAGATCCATCTCCCTACTTCCTATTGTCTGTCTTTTATTTTGTTCTTCACTTATAATTTGGGCTTCTCCTATAAGAGAAACCATTTGGTATTTAAGCGTGTGAGTCTGATTTATTTTTCTTAACATTATGGTCTCACGTGCACTCATTTTCCTACAAATGACTCAAGTTTACCTTTCTTTATGGCAAAGTGTAAATACCACATTTGCTTTATCCATTTATCTGTTGATGGACATATAAGCCACGTCCATGAGGTAACTGTTATGAATTGTACTGCTACAAGCATGGGTATGGATGTATCATTGTAACGTGTCCTCTAATTTTTTCAGGAAGAGACCTACAAGAAGAATAGTTGGGTCCCATGGAATTTCTAGGTGGTTTTTTTTTTAATCTCCATACTGATTTCCA